TGGTGGTGGTGAGGATGATACTTATGGTGATGATGGTGGTGGTGGTGAGGATGATACTTATGGTGATGATGGTGGTGGTGAGGATGATACTTATGGTGATGATGGTGGTGGTGGTGAGGATGATACTTATGGTGATGATGGTGGTGGTGGTGAGGATGATATTTATGGTGATGATGGTGGTGGTGAGGATGATACTAATGGTGATGGTGGTGGTGGTGATAGTAGTAATAATTACGGTGGTAATTATCACATAACGATGGTGTGGTGCTAGTGGTGATAGTGGTGGTTATTTTTCTACAGAGCCAGATTTAAATGACACAGTCAATTGATTATGTTCTTTTTCTCTTAAGGACAAAAGGAGTTATTCTTGTCCTGTGTGTGAAAAGTCTTTTTCAGAAGATCGATTGATAAAGTCACATATCAAGACCAACCATCCTGGTAAGGTCATGCATTTTAGAGTGGAAGATTAATGTTAAAGCGCTTATGTTTATTTTAAAATACAGCCTCATACATTCACTGCACATTAGGGAAATAAAGAGGATGAAGCTAGGAATAAATTCAAAGGAAACAGTCATCTTTATTTAAAGCTGGGAAGTGTATATAATATTTTATTTCATTTTGTTCTTTTTTCTGATCTTTAGATACACCCCCCCCCCCACAGGCTCAATGACTCCCACTCCCCCCCCTTATGGGAACTTTGAACACCTGTAGATGGGTCACATACAGTGCAGGTCTGGCTTAAATCTTTGCTTTATGCTCTGTCCTAAGTTTGTGTTTCCCAGAGTGGTGGTTTATAAGGGGTGTTGGCTGAGGAGCCTTTGTGAGTTGGAGTATCTGTCACCTTGGGTCTTCCCACATTTCATGCCTCTCAGGTGCCTGTGACACCAGCCAGTTAGGACATCCATGCCTCACCACTTCTGTTCTTGCCACCCTAAACATTTCCCCTCCTGTCCTGCCAGCATGATTCCTGTTCATTCTGTAAGTTGTCCCTCAGCCTGTGTTAGCTCCCTGTCTGGCTGAGGGCCCCCCACCCTGTACCCAGCCCTCCTGACTGACCACCGTGACTCTCTCAGCTGCCCTCATGGGGTCCCCGAGACAAGACTTATCCCTCACCCTCAGTGCCTCTCAGACAGGCCCGAGAGGGCAGACACCGGCCCTGCATGCAGCGTGAACGAGTCACACAGAGGACAGGTGCACCCTCCTGTCGTCCGTTGACTCTTCTCTCTATTTTGTGTCTGCTTTCGGTATGGGGACCTGACTCACTGATTTGGGTGGTAAGAGATGGAGGAAGATAAGGGAATAATGGAAGGGTGCCAGCACGCATGTTTCTTGTAGGAATGGACAGAGCCATGAGGGCTTCATCTGTGCTGAGAAATTTAGGCTGTGTGACCCTCTGAGACCCAGCTCCGTTAGTCCCGTGTTGACACTTGTCCTTTTTAAGTGACACATGATCTGATGAGACTGAAGCTACTCTTTTAAAATGACCAGCTTGAACAGATGTAAGGCATTCTTTTATTAGTCTAAACTTTTTATAATGGAAAATCGCAAAATATATCACAGAAAGCATGAGATTTCTCCTTAAAAATCTGTAGAATATATCTCTAGCTAATAAGGATTATTTTCTACATAACCACCATATTACCAGCAAACAGAATTAACAGTAATTCCTATCCCCACCTAGTACTAGTCCTTTTAAAATTTTCCCAGCTGGCTCATTATTTTTTATTTTTTTAAATATGATTCATTTGTTTAATTTGTACAAATTTACGAGGTACATGTGAAATTTTGTTATATGCATAAATGGTGTAGTTGACAAGTCAGGGCTTCTAAGGCAGCCATAACCCAAATAACTCCTTATCATCCACCCCGTCCCGTGCCCCACCGTTCTGAGTTTTCATTGCTTATCATTTCACTTTCAATGGCCCCGTGTGCACAGTTGTTAGCACTCATGTATGAGTGACAACACGTGATATTTCATGCTTATCATTTCACTTTCAATGGCCCCATGTGCACAGTTGTTAGCACTCATGTATGAGTGACGACAGGTGATATTTCATGCTTGTCATTTCACTTTCAAT